TTGTTGGTTTACTAGTTGTTGTTGTTGTTGTGGATGTAGTTGTGGATGTTGTTGGTTTACTAGTTGTTGTTTGAACAGGCCGTCTACCGTATAGAAACTGAATAGCTAATATATCATCTTTACCCAATTCAAACTCATTTAGATCTACGATTCCTTGAGGATGACTCATAAAAGGGTACATAATTGATTTGTTATCGTGAGAATGATCTATCCCTAATGCATGTCCAATCTCGTGTACTAATGTCAGAAAGAACGAAATGTTTCCATAACGCGGTAAGTCTATAGTATAATCCCAATTCTCCTCAGAGTCAAGATGAATATCGGTGGTACAGGCCACAGCTGTTCCATCTGAGATAAGCGACGACGTCACGGGGGGATGACGCGCCAGAGGCAGATGGCGTCGTACCCGGCGAGTTTAAATTGGGTTGACGGACCGATTGTAGTAGAGGACAACTTCATTGACGACGTTGTCCATGAATTGAACCGGTCGAATTCGAATCGGATGACAGCATGTACGAACCCCCAGATGATCACCGTGATGTTGATTGGGAACCACCAGTGGAACCTGTATTACCACCAGATGAGTTAGGAGGTCCCGCATATAACACGAGAGCGCGCGCTAGACAATAGTCAAAACAATAAATGATTGGGAAGTTTAAGTTGAAAAAATTACTATTATATGTGGAATCTGGTTCGAGATATGACGACATTGTGGTAGAGAGGGTAAATGTGTAGAGGGATGGAATTATGAGGTCTCCTAAGAATTATGTCTCATATTAGTAAACATTAAATATACATATATATATATATATACCTTACTTTCCAGATATTTTTCAATATTATATATTGAAATTAGATACTCATATTAGAAATGTGTTATTAGTGTTCAAAATTGTTTGACCATAACATATCGATTTACGTTATAACATTTTTCGTTAGAAGAAATGGACAATGATAATGAGACATTCTGAACCAACCATATTAGCGTGGGTAATACCTTGTTTTACGTATTTTGTAACATTTAACGTTTGTATACAGGATATTACTTGACTATAAGTATTTTCTAATTATCACTATTAGCTGTAGACATCTTATTTATACTCGTATGTAGTGTGAACAAAGACCATTGCTTATAATATTAATTAGATGAATAAATGTAAGATGAACACAGAAGTGGAGGGAAGTTAAAAATGAACGGGGAGAGAATTACTGAACAAATGATCACTATTCACCATGAGTATGGAAATACTCACTCTATTCAGTTTACTTGTGAAAATAACTTGCCTTTTTACGTGATACTGAGTGTAAAGTCTAGTCAAATGGATGTAGATGTATGCTTTGTTGGAGTAAGTGACCAAATATGCCTCGCAAATGGTCACGTACCATTTCTCAATAAAGACATTATATTATGAATGTGTGAGTTAAAGGCACATACCTGATGGTTCACAACTGGGGACAACATGAGTGGCTCTGGCTCCGTTGGTGTTGCACGGGTAGCTCTGGTTCCGGAGGAGAATCCGGCACTGTCACATAGTCATACTCCTGCAATGGCTCTGAGGACGGAGGAGGCCGTCGGGGCAGGCTTGGAGCAGCTGATGAGCGTACAGAGCCTGATGGAAATGGAACGCGCACCAACCTTGGAGCGTGAGGAGCCCTAGCAGATGTCGGTGCAGACCGCGGCCGACCACGTCCTATTCCAGGGATGGGTACCACCGGAAATGCTACAGATGGAGCACTGCAGCGGATCGCCGAGAGAGAAAGATATCCAGCTGCACCTGGACTTGAGTTTGCTCTGGTTCCTAGCGGATGGATATACCGACGGACAGCCAAAGACTCAGTGTCTAGGGATATCACTACATGTACCCACTCTGGTTCAGTGTTCGGAGGTACGCGGGTGTAGCAATTGGTTAGTTTAAAATTAAGGTTAATCATTGGCCATAACAAAGTCTGTACAAAATGGTCTCATGTCCATACATATTACATCTACCATATTAATATAGTAACATAAGGGTGCCCCATTTTATTTCGTATACAGTTAGGTACATCAGCAACCCTATTTCAATTATGCCCAAAAAAAATAATCACACCAGAATGTATAAATATCAACGCATCTATTTGAATTTTCAGTTAGGCACTAGAGTATCTCATGGTTTTGAGCGAGTGTGGGTGCCTTATCAAGCCCTCTTCCTAACGCCTCCGCAAGTCACTCCCAAAATCATTCCATACCATATAATTCTAGTAGTACTGTATGGTTCACAACCTTGGGCCCTGCCCTGGGCAATGAACAGAAACCCCTTATTGCTGGGTTGAGAATAGAAAACAGAGAAAACGACATTACACGAGGAAAGGGATAAAAAAGAATGGGAGGCCAAAATTGTATTAAGGTTTCAGTGGCCACAAATAAGGTGTTTTAAGCGATAGTATGCAAGGTGTATAGTCAATGGTGATATGTATCTACTGTACTTTACAACAGTTTTTGTGAATCGACTGCCAATCACAGTTAAAGGATTTTCAAATCAACAAAATCGCTGTTTTATTGTATAATTATCGGATTTAAAATGCATATCGTATTGGCCTATTATCGGATGAAAGAAATATGTGGTAAGTGATATACTGTATTATTTTACAAGATGTTTTTTTCTATTAAAACTGCTAGAATTATTCTTTAGGCGTGTAAACTAGCTGTTCTGAATTGATTTCAGTTTTAATCGACTACTTGATTGCCTTGCGTAGGATGGGCCAACAGCTACTCTTCTGTTATTTTGTCACACTTAAAACGATTCCACAAATCGAATGAATCAATCCATTCCAAAAAAATACAATTTCTCAAACCATTCCTCACAACTTTTTTTTCATTTGTCACATTTAATGTTACTAATTATCCTACTTTTGGCTTAGACACATCGACAACATCAATTTCAGTTTCCATTATATTCGACGTACTCAGTTAAAATGTCATCAAAAGAATATAAAAAATAAATAAACATATATACGTACATGGTAGATGTATTAAATTTGATTATTGAAAACAAAACAGTACTAATTGTGCATGCAGGTCTATTGGAATAGGTACAGACTGTACTAGCAGGCCTATTTATAAATGTACCGACTGCTCGAAATGCGTGTAAAAGGGAGCTTCATTTCAAAAATTCCCTCGAGACATTAAACATTGAAATTAGCCTTCAAGTATCAATGTTTTTTCGTAACGTTGATTTTTTAGTCCCCTTAGCCTTCATATCGTAACCACTATTTGTCCTGTCTCCAGTATCAATTTCTTCTACTATATACTTTGAAGCATAGCCCTATATATTCTGCTGGAAAATCTCCAGCAGCTTCGTCCTTTGCCAGGCCCAAACCAAAACGTCTGCCAAGCTGGTACACAATATGGATTTTAGGATAGTTGGAAGTGTCAAGCCTGGTGAAGATTGGACTAGTTTTTAAGTCCTGGTAGAAGTCTAGTGTTTCTTTGTGTGCTAAGATCGAATCTGTGTCGCTGTACCCCATTCTAATTTTATTTCCATACATAGGTCTCAAAGAGACATAATAAAAGGAATACATTATAGTTTTACTGATATCTAATATAGCAACACCCATGTATATTGGAGTATTGGGTTTATGCATGACAAAGACTAGAGTGTCCTCTGACACAGCATACCACTCTTTAAATAATCTATTTCTTGAGAACTTGTCCACTTGTTTATTTGTCTTTGCAATCTTGATATTAACACGATCATCCAGTTTCATTATAGATATGCCAAATGCCGAATTTGAAAACCTTTTGTAAAAGTCCTCTTCGAATTTGTTCTGGGATTGTTTTTGCATCTATGCATTGAAAAGGATGAATTTCTCACACCATTTTGACTGTTAACATTTTAGGGTCTTGTGTACATGCTTAAGAACAAGACCATGGCCAGCTGTAGACTAGTGTGGTGCATTAAATATTTGGTCTTGTCATGGACATTGGCCATTAGGCATATATTACCGTCTTCGTTTTCTTCTTGTGTTGGAAGAAAAGGTTGTCCCCGGGGGCTTCTTGGAGATGTTAAGGATATTCCATTATCACTTCTAATAACGCCCCAAAATTCCGAATCCTCACCAGCTTCCAAGATGCTTTCGAATTGGTCAATGTCAGCCCATTCAAACCCTCCATAAGGAAGGAGCTGGCACATGGCTGTGGCATATAGGGAGTTCATATCTATATTGAATATGTAGGATGACTCCTCCTCCTTATTATATAACTCCCCCATGTAAAAATTGTTGGCTTTACAATACTTTAGGGGTGCTGTTACAAAGCCACCTCACACCCCCTTCTACAGAAGTCATACATATCTCTGCTAGTTATCAACTCGAGCCGTACATCTGTAATTTTTGAGCATGGCATCAAATGCAAGACCTGGAGCGGTTAAACAATAATATGCATGGTCCAAATTATAAGTAGAGTGCACAATCTTCCTCAAATTTTGGAAAACGTCACCAAGAATCAGCACATCTGTTCGTAAATATAACATTGTATACTCTTCGAGGTTAGCAAAATTAAAGTGTGACCACACCTTGAAGGCATGTTCATACTTTCAAAACTTAACTCTTAATCTGTCAAGGAGTTTTGGAATGCCTCAATTTTTGGGAGTGATGTCTCACTTAATTTTGACATGTATGTCAGATAATTATAAAGATAGACACCTTTCCTTATTATAAGGCTAAGGTCTTCCTCGCTAGGTAAAAACTCCCTACAAATTTTCTTTTGATCATTCGGCAGGTTATTACACAATTCACTAAGACTGCGAGGCATAAACTTAAAAGAGTCTATGAAACGGAGCTCCGTCCCTCCCACAGTCTTAGAAAACGATGTGAATTTATCATTAGTGTTTGGTACGACTTTCACTTGTCCGAGGTGTGGTATTATAAATGCCGAGTCGTACCACTCTATATGGGCATTTCGAATTTAGTGGGCTTGTCAGGATCACAAGTAGGTTTGTGCCTATCCAGCTGTTTTACAGCAGTCAGTCCAGTTCTATCGTAAAACCGTTGCCCGCATCTCCTACAAACATAAGCCTGTCGATGTAAATTTCCAAGTCGTAGTCCAACTAGAGCATCAAAGTCTTTAATGTAGTGGAACGTATCATTTCCATACAATAAGTCGATGTTGTTTTCCAAGTTGTCCTTGGGTGGGTTCCATGGGAGTATTCGACCGGCATGTATAAAGAAAATAGATAGACTACAATTATTCATCGTTTCAAACGTTGCAATAAAATCATTGTCCGGTTTCAAAACGGGGAAAGTTATATCACTCCAGTCATATTCGTTTTCAAATTCGAAGACTTTTGCAGGGTCAACTTCAGTAAATTTACACATTAAAGCATATGTTTTTGTGTTGAACCGGAGATAGAATAATATTCAGATTTTTTAGAATGTTGTCACCGGTACAGGTTTCATCCATGTGTTCTTCTAATTTAGCCTTTTCAGCAAAAAGTGTGTCACAATTAGGACAGCAATGCCTTTTAAATGATGTGTCTTTTAAATGCTCTTTTAAATGATTTAAGTGTAGATAATTTTTCTTTCGCACAATTCTTCTGAACATTTATATTGTCGTTTAGCCTTTTTGTTGCAATTTTTAATGTGTCTTAAATAATGGTTGCGGCGTAGTAATATCTTTTTGCAAATGGCACATTTATGCCCCTCAGTCTTTACATGATTAAATTTGTAATTCTGCGTTAAAATTTTGTTGTTGAGATACGTCTCTCCACATCTTGAAAATGTACAAGGAAATATTTTAGCCGAATGGCAATCTTTAATGTGGTCATTTAAATGGCGCCTTTCATTATAATGCTTCACAATCCCAAAATCAAAACAATTTAGGCTATACTCATTGACGCCATCACGTTCCTAATACCTCTGACCAAATGAAAAAATACTAATATTTTGATACTAAAATATATATTTTACGAGGAACTATTAATTTATACACGACTATACAACACAATCCTAAGTATTCAACAGTGATAACTCCAATATATAGAACTGTAAACACGACAGAACGGGCACTGTCAAACCGGTACAGAGCCAACAATATTTTCACTTTTAGTGGGACCCCTAATCAACATCCTTAAAATCTCTCACTTTGAACAACCAGTTTGAAGGTCGACAACCTTGGCAGACTCTTGCACAGACATTAATCCTACTAGTGATAAAAAAACTATCATAATTTAATAACTGTTATAAACTTTTTAATAATGGGGCCGTACTCTGTTGTGCTGTTATATAATTTAACAATTTAGAGAATTTTATTTACTTGTATGCGCGGTGTTGCCAAATATGATAATACCAGCTGATTTGAAAATATTTCATAGTATATTCGGCGACCCCAAATGTATACATTGTGACATTTTGCAGAGAATTAAATCATCTTATTCAGTTATTAATTAATAACTAGGGGCACAAGTCCCTAAAAAGGTCAAATTGTAAAACAATATAGGGTATACCGGGGTAAAAGGGATCAGAAGATCATATAATTCAACTTTAGGCCTCTATAACATGTGATTGAATACTTAAATAACTTTCAAACTTTTATCAAGTATCAATAAGCTCTTTCTTTATACATAGTATTTTTTCTGATTATTAAAATAAATTATAACATACTAAAAAACACAATAAAACTCTGTCCTTGATTCCAATTGCCCCACACACTTGGGGTAGTTGGGATCTCAGCTCCTACTACCCATATAATGCTATAATGCAATGTAATCAGATATGGGGCTATTGGGATATGAAACATTTTATAAGCTTTCTTGAAATATTAAAATTTTTATTTTATCTTAAACAGTTTTTGAATTATGAACTTTTTTGTACGGTCTGTTGGGACTTCCTAAATTTGATTTTTTTTGTAGATAGTGTAAATACCTAACTAAAATAAAATAACAATAAAATACGAGCATTTATACATACCTCTAGCTTAAATAAGTGGTTTCCACATAAAAGTGAATGTTTTTCAGTCTTTTTTTGCCAATTGATATTTTTAGACTGATATTTAAAATACCTATGTTCTTGTTTAAAATGCCAGTGTTATAACTCATAAATTAAGTTTTTCTTCAAAAATTGTACATATTTACAGTTCTTCTTTCTTCTCTTAATGTAAATTGAAGGTCGCAAAAGAAACTTGAGATTTCACCTCTCTACGTTCTAGAGTAGGTACTGGAAGAGCTACTATAACTTCTTCCATTGTTATTTGAGCTACATCTTTTTGTTTAGGCCAAACAATAATGTGTTTTCTCTCTCACACTTTTTTCTAGTTCATTTGATAACTGGTTCATGATTATCAAAATTAATTTTCTCGCAAACATAGTGTTTGACAGTTGTTTTTCTAGCGAGGGAAACTAATACGCAGTCACCTACTTTATACTTTTTATTTTCAATCAATTGGTCAATGTCTAACTCTTCCTCACTTAATTCTTTTGCAAGGTCTTCCATAGTTAAGTTGTCCAAGTCATCTTCACTGTTAGACATTTTTATTACCTCACCATCATCACTGCTACTGCTATCAACAGTAACAGTTTTTTTTTTCATTACTGCTTTGTTTTTCTTTTTAAAGGATGGTTTTACATGTCTCCAGGATGAGTTTTCTTAGTTGGACCTTATTTTTCAGATTGATTGAAGTAAGGCTGAGAGGTCTGTAATCGCTATTCTTCTTTTCTTTTCTTCATTTTCTTTTAAAATGTTCTTTGATTCTATTTCTGTAACAACTTCTGTCCCTGGACATACTCATTTTTTTGTGTTGTTTTGTTTTTTTTTTTTTAACAAAGGAACTAAGTTTTTTTTGTTCATCACCAGAAACAATGAACGCTTGTTCCTCAGGGACATGTCTTACCCTACCTTGTAGGACAAACATTTTTGCTACACCGTAATTGGTGAATGGCATTTCACTTTGTCTTTGTACAGAAAGGTCTTTATTTTCGAAAACATACGGCAACTCGTCCAATGAAATCATAACCCTCAGGGAATTGGACGTCTTCCAACTTCATAAGGCACTGATTTGTAGTTTTTACTGTATGTTTTCTTTTAGCGTAAAATCTCCAATCCCACTCATACCTCTGAGTATTTACTTTTGGTAGTATTTGTCAAGTTGGAATAACGACAAAGCTAGTACTTGGAGTCTTACTTCACTTCTGTTTAGGATTGAAGTAAGGTTGCAGTTGCGTTGTTTGCTTTTCAACGATGCATTAAATCTTTCTGAAGGGTTTGTCAAGATGTTTGTCGAAATAGGTTTTAAATTCACTTGACCAATGGACGGACTTATTTTGATTGATAGTCTTCAACAGAATCAGAATCCATTAGGTCCCAGACATTGTTGATTAACACTTTGTAATCAGATGATTTTTCAATGCCTTTCAGTCAGTTTTTAACATCCTGCTGAATATATTTCCAACAGAAACGTGTGAGTTATCAGGCAACACTTTTTAAATAGCCTTTTTAAAGACTCTTCTCTGTCATTCACAATTGGTTTGCCAACGATTTCAGGGAAAACACTTAGAACAGTCTGAAATATTGACAGTTGCAAAGTTGGTGTCGTGAATGCCGTATACCAATGGTATACATGGTCCATCTTCAAAGGAGCTATTGGAGAGACTAATGGAGAAACATAAAAATCTCCCAAATCAAACTTTGTGTCAGTATTGCCAATACATGGTCACAAGTTGAGGGTGGAGGATTGGTGGCTGCCGTAGAAAACTTTGAGGTTCGTCCACAATATCCCCATCCAGATCACCTTCCTGTAAAGCGGTTTGCTCGTCGTCACGAAGGTCGTCATGTTCAGCTTGTAGAGGGTGTGCTAAAATTTGGTTTTGCTAAAATTACAAAATCCCCACTGGTCTGTTATGTAAGGTTAGTATTCTGTCAGTAGTGGATACATAGGGCTGCTGAGGAGTGACGTCACAAGAGCCATGTGGTGCTTAATTGACGGTTAAGCATCTGGTGGTAATGGTGCGTGACCTAGCACGTGGTGTGGTGGGTTACGGTATGGTGACGTCATGATGACGACATGCTGAGGTGTGAAAGTTAGGTGGATCGATATTTTCAAGGTTATTGTTGTGGTTTAAAAAAAACAGCATATCGGTAAAGGGATAAGTACCGATATGCTGATTTTTAAATTCTTTATTGAAAAATCAAAATTGACATACGAGGAATATAATTGTTTTCAAACTTAAACCTAATACAGATCTAAGCTAAACTAAACATTTGGATCATAGAGTTAGGTCTACTACAGTAACAACAGTTGTCAAATTGTCATCCACACATGTCGCAAGCGAAACAGTGTTTGCATTGGTAAGAAGAGTAAATTACGATTTTTTTGTCCATGCATATTATACACTCAAAGTTTGCTTCTTTTATTGGAAACATAGTAGGAATTTTGTTAAATTTGAGAAATTAGCTATATATACGACATAAAACTGTTGGAGATAACTATTTGTACATGTTACCTTTGCAATGTTTGCGATATAATTTGTTGTTAATGAGATGTTGTCTTTAGCTAGTTCCACTACAGACTAATGAGAGACCCATCATACACATTCTTTTATGCTGTTTATGATTGCTATCTGGTATACAGCAAACATTCGCAATTGAAATATTTCCACTTTTGTCTTTGCATTTTATAAGATCGTCAAGTGAAAAGTTTGTTATTATGTACATATTACAAAAAGTGTTTGGATTTTTGGTTTGCAATGTTTCTGTGAGAAAACTTATTAAAAACCACTATTTTATTATGTCACCATTATAAACATAAATCCAGAACTAAACTAAAATATCACTTTAATCCTGCAAGGTGTATCAGCTATTTAACTGGTATGGAAAAGTAATGTACACAGTGTTTCTACTTCTTCGTGAACAGTTGGCGGTACATGCGGGCAGAGCATTGTTCCACTAATTACAACCATGTGCCACATTTGCAACATAGGGCTAGTACCTTATATTTCTAAGACTTGTTTATTCATTCAAATCGTTATGTTTTTGAATGATTTTTAAAATAACAAACATTTGGTATATTGCACATTGCTTAATGTTAGACGTACAAACGATCAAGCTATATAAAAACAAATTTCCCACTCTTTACCCTGTAATTTACTATTTATTTAAAGCAAATGTTAACTCTCATTAAATACTCTTGGTTGTATTGTAATCCAACGTATTTCTGTTTATCGTTTGTCCTTTTGTGAAACTGTTTGAATGTTTTTTTATTGCTATTTGTAGTACAGAAAACTATTCAATTTAACTAATTTCACTGTTAAATATGTTCAAATGTTAGGTAAGGCTTCTTTCACCGTCTTCTAGTCTTTCTAATATATCTATCACTTCATTGCTGAACATGAATCTTTTTACACTGTATGATATTATATAAGCATCGGTTTATGACCTAGCACGTGACCTAGGACATGGTGTAGTGGGTTATGTCATGGTGGCGTGTCAGAGCTAGGGTGGATCGATATTTTCAAGGTCGTTGTTTGGGTTTAAAAAAAATCAGCATATCGGTAGTGGGATGAATACCGATATGCTGATTTTTGTTAATTCTTTATTGAAAATTTAAAATACACACAATATAAGGAATATAGCTGTTTTAAAAACTTAAACCTAATACAGATCTAAACTAAAAACACTTGGATCATAGAAATTATAGGAGCTCTACAGTAACAACAGTTATCGAATCTCCATCCGCATATGTCACAAGCGAAACAGTGTTTGCATGGCAAGAAGAGTAGATTACGATTTTTGTTCATGCATATTATACACTCGATGTTTGATTCTTCTATCGGTGGGGGTACAGCAATGTTGTTTGTTGGAATCCTTTTCTTTTGTAGGGCGTTTCTTTCGGTTCTGGATCTCATTTCGTTGACGAAATCTTGTCCTTTGTGTACCAATACGAACGGACACTTGGGAAACCATTTCGCGTGTTCTTCCCAAGGATCATCGATATCTTGCCAATGGTGTAGTCCACCACCGCAGTAAAAACAAATCGTTTGGTCCTTTTTTCCTGCGTAGAAGAATCCTGCTTCAGCGAGTTCGATTCTACATTCGCTAACAAAACTTCTCGTTCGGGCGTGTATGTACGAGTTGATCCTATCATTTTCTTTTGAATATTCAGGATGTTTTATACACCACGACATGTTACTTCGAGCTCCGATGAGAGTAAAGTGGATAGTAGTAGGTCTCGCATCGTCCTTTTATGCGGTAGGTACCTTATTTTCGTGGAATGAAAACCAGCTTCTGATTGGTTGATTACAGCAGACGTTGCAATGTTCAAGGTCATCCAAAGTAAATTTTAAAAAACAACATATCGGTATTGAAACAAAATACCGATACGATCTAGCTTTTATTTTTCCCATATTTATTTCAAACATTTAGATAAACATATTTACAATAAACATTATTTTGACTACGCTAAATTATTACATTTGCAAAAACTAAACCTAAGATACAAATCAAATGAAGGTGAGGTGTAATGAAGAGGGTTCCCGATGATGGTGGTGTAGAATGCTCCTGTTTTGACTTGTGGTCAGGTCGTAAATTTATGGAGTTATTTCGTACTGAAGGAGTAGATTGATTGTGTTTAGTCTCGTTGCAAAGATTAGGTGTAATGGTGTAGACTTCTGATTGTAGCGGTGGGGTAGAGCACTCCTCGTCGTAGTCAGACCCGTTGTAATCACTAAAGTTCATAAATGGTAAATATTGTCCATGCTCCTTTAAGAATATCCCCCTCGTTTGTTGATGTTCAAATATTAAATTCCAATCTAAATGATCTTTGTAGTTTTCGATAAAACTTTCAGAAAGGTTTTGATATTTACAAATTTCCTTCCAACAGCAGTTGTTGAAAGTAGGAATCATCTCTACGAGTATTTCTTCTGAGAACCGTTGTCTTTTTAAAACGTGAAACCAATTCACCCTGTGAAAGTACATCCTCAACATTTCTATAGTGAAAATGTAGTGCAAAGAAAGAAGTTCCCAGTCCATAAACGTGTCGAAACGTTGCACAAAACTATCGGATAACACTCCGTGAGGAAATCGAGGTTCTTGCGAGATTAAACTCCAAGCACTCACGTTGGTACCCATCGTGTTATCGTGAACCTTAGAGTGTGCAAACTGAACGCTGGAATACTGTGGCAACCCTTTTATGTGATTGTAACAAACTTAGGTGTAGTGATGTTTGCAGATTTAAATTTGAAAATTTAAACCTAGAGATATTTTTTTGTTATTCAGATGATCTGGTTTCATATGGTTTGAGAACCAAAGCTAGCTCATTAAGTAAACGTGTGATGTTACTTCTGTTTAAGCCAATGCTACAACAAACACAAGTATCGGGACCACAAGTTGCATCATCGTTTGACCATGGACATTCCTTATAATGCTCACCATATTTGGACTTTGTTTTTGCTGACAAACCATGCCTATCTATTTTTCTCTGGATTTCAATAATGTTTTTGATTATTCTTTCGAACTTCAGTACAGCTTCTAAATTCCAACTCACCAACCCTAGTGCAGGATGTGTTAAAACTCGATACAATTCGTTGTTCATGATGGGTTTCCTTTAGCTGGTTCTACTTCAGACTGATGAGCGACCGATGTTACACCCCCCTTTTATGTTGTAAAGTTCAAGGTCATCCAAATTTGTTAAAAAAAAACAGCATATCGGTATCAAAACAAATACCGATATGCTGTTTTTTTACTCTTTATTTATTTATTAAATCTTTTACAAAAGTACATTCTACAAACAGAACTTAAATCTAAGGACGTTGTGACATGTGAAGAGATAATTCTGTAGAGTTGTTTCCGCTTGACCCACGAGACACCAGGTACAGGGATCCGGGTTCGATGCTTCTCAGATCTTCATTTTGTAGTAGATGTACAAATCGTTTAGGTAGAAATACTTGAAACTTCGGTTCATCCCCCGAAGTAAATGGTGCATCACTTAAAGAAACCACGATGGCATCCCCGATGGAAGTGTCAATCTTCTTGATATTGTGAATTGTATAATGTTTGTTTTCTTTTAGTTCTGAACACTTTTTAGTAAGTAAACAGTTTGATTTGGACTGTGCGTTGAATTGATCAACAAACGTTTGTAGGAAATGTGAACTCATGATTTATTTAGTTCGTCGTTGTTGCTAGCTTGGAGTCTAGAGTAATACTCATGCATTGTCAAGGTTTGCTCTTCGTATTTATACCCATCGCTACCCCCACCACTCCTCATTGGCTCCAAAAAAGCTGCTAATCGGTATACATTTTTCAATGCGCACTGTGATTGTGTATGTTGTTTGTTTTTTACTAGTCGACATATATTTTCCAACTTGGGAGATTCGAAATTCTTATCCAATATCACGTCGTAAACTTGCCGAGTCGTATATGCTTGTATCCAATTACGTTTTTCTAATCCTCTTGTGTATACAGTTGTAAACTCATTACAAAAATGATACATAATATTTTCGAGACTCTTGTAGTTTGTAAACCCTTCACACCAATCGATACTATGGAAGTATCTCGTAGTCCATTTATTGGTTCTTTTCGTTTTACTGTTGAGATTATTAAATGCGAATGGAGGTTCAAATAGAAATGGAAAGACAATTCCTGTATTTAAATCTAGGAATACTAGTTCCTTTATGATATATTCATTTTTGTTTCCTCGAAAAGCTTGAAATTCCACTACACAAGGTTTTTCTTGAATCTCTTCAACTCTGTCAGCGAAGGAAATCTTCCTCTCCATATCGTTTTAAGATAACAACTGGTTTCCACACCACGGTAGATCCCTTTTTTATAGATCAGGCCGTACAGTTGTCAGCGCGTTGGTGTATATTTAACGTGGGCACCTTCCCCCCAGTAGGCCTACCCCACGTGATGTTAACATATTTGCTGTCCTGTTTACATCGGCTACAGCTTATCTGTTGTTTCCTTTTTTATTTCTTCTATTTTTCTCCGTCTTGCAAATTCATTACACCTTTAACATCACTCGTCTGTTCTGCTACTGTTGAAATTGTTTCGTGGTTTTCCTCCGTCACTTGTTCCTCCGTTACACTCACAGAACTAGATCCTTCTATCTTTTCTTCGTCGATGTTTTCCCTCTGTTCCAACGCGTTAACTTGTCTCCACATTTCCACCTCTTCTGGTATCCGGTTGAATATCGATGTATCCACAGGTCCATGCAATATCTGAACGTCGGGTTGTTTTTCCATCGTTTCCATTAAGTAATCTTTCACGACAGGGGAAGAAAAAACTAGCTGCCTCATGTATCTTGTTATCGATGATGTAGAACAACTCAATAAATAAAATTCAGAATTGGTAAGTAAAATTCTTTCATCGTGTTTGGTTAGCTCCCTAAATCTAACTTGCTGCTCCCCTCGCTGTTTAACAACATCTATCTCGATGTCGCAGTCTGAGAGCCTGATTGCAGTTTTTCTTCCAAACAGATTGTTCTCCAAATAACATTCTATCAAATGCAAATGTTTAATAAACGATTCCCAAGCATTTTCCGAAAACAACAAAGTTTTAGCACCATGGTTCAATAGCACTGTTGGAGAATAATCCAACGGTTTGTACATACCGATAGATATAATTTTTGTCATACATCTTGAAACTGGATATGATATACGAAGAAATACTTCTATCAACTTGTGTAGTGGCATTTCCTCTTCTTGTTTCCTCTTCCTTTTTCCGATTACCTTCGTTACGATGTTGGTGTTTACATCATTTTCTGTACGTGATTCTTCTTCGTTAAAAGATAAAAATTCAGATACTGCTTCTTTACATTGGTTTTTGTTTTTTTCATCTTTTAATAACATTGTTGTTGTTGTATCCGTTGCACACTGCGATGATCCCATCTTTGAAAGCGATGTTTTCCGTACTGAGAGTATGGATAAACTGAAGCTTTCCGATTACTCTGAGTTTTATTTATACCCTCCCGCAACGAGTGTTTCCATCTACAACACTACTTTTACAATTCCTTTTAGAGGTGTGTATGTTACAATCTTATCATGCAGAATCAAACAATAAGCGGATGTTCCTTCGGGTATATTTTCATCAAATTCCAATTCCAACTTTATATCCACGCTTGAAGATTTTACAGATTAATTTTGTTTGGAACAATCTATAACCACGACTGGAGCTTTTGAGACACCTAATTTGTTAGAGATCTTCTTCACTATCCACCACTACGGTCTTAAATTTTGATAGATTTTTTCTTTGTTCACCATCATACAAAGGTGTGATATAGCGTTTTTCCTCATTCCAAACAAACTTTGACCCCCTGTGTGTTATAAGCTTTCCACCAACTCGATATACGTGTGTGCGAAACTTGTAATCTCCACCACGATATGTTGCAAATCCACTCATACTTGTAGCTTTTGCTATTACTACAGGTTTTGAAGGACTATTTACAACCAAATCAAATTCAACATCACCACATTTAAATATATCTTTTTCGAAATCATATGTCAACGTTTGACTGACAGTGCTTACATCATCTTTGTTAATACCTTTGGCTACATGAGTAATTCTTTTATTTTTTCCATCGTAGCAACATCCTTCTGGAGGAAAAACAGCTTCCTTGACTTCTTTTACTGTTAACTTAAGGTCATTATTGGAGGATTTCAAGTTTTCAGTTAATGTTGAAAAACCATTACTCATTTCCTGCAGTTTTTCCAACTTTTTATTTAGGTCACTAAGTCTTTCTTCCAATCCTTTCAATTCCAGTTTATTAATATAGTAACGGGTTAAATAACCTCTTGTTACTGCTTGACGTGCGGTTTCAGGATCCGACGAAACCCTAAACCGTTTAGTATCTTCATCGTCATAATCTTCGTATTCATCTTCCAAATCTTTTCTTTCTCGTTTTTGGGTGTACAGAGAGTGGCCAAACTTATCAATAATGTGATGTTTTATCATTGGAGATGTTTACTGTAGAGTATATGTAAACCAAATAAGTATAATCCGAGAACCTAGCAATACTTATACTCCAATAAAAATATTGGACAGATAAGAATGATTTTTCTACTTAAGCTATTTTTAATAAGTGTTTACTTGATCTTGTTCAAATGAAGACAAACTGTTATTCTCTCGTTTCTAAAATCAACTAGTCTGTTATCTTGATCCATAATTTTGAGCGTAATATTACTAATTGTCT